CACTGGAGCACTGGACTGAGCTCCCAAGGTCCCAATGAGGAGCAGATGGAGGGAGAACACGAGCAAGGATGTCAGGACCACGGGGGGTGCACCCACCCACTGAGACAGTGGGGCTGATCTATTGGGAGCTCACCAAAGCCAGCTGGACTGTGACTGAAACAGCATGGGATAAAACCAGACTCTCTGATCATGGCGAACAATGAGGACTGATGAGAAGCCAAGGTCAATGGCAAAGGGTTTTGATCCTACTTCATGATCCGGCTTGGTGGGAGCCTAGCCAGTTTGGATGTTCACCTTCCTAGACATGGACGGAGGGGGGAGGTCCTTGGACTTTCCACAGGGCAGGGAACCATGACTGCTCTTTGGATTGGAGAGGGAGGGGGAGAGGAGTGGGGGGAGGGGAGAAGAGTGGGGGGAGGGGGAGGGAAATGGGAGGCTGGGAGGAGGCGGAAACTTTTTTTTTCCTATTCTCAATAAAAAAAAAGCAAAAAAAAAAAAGAAGAGGGAAGGAGGAGATAGAGGACAAGCAAGAGGGGAAGGAAGAGACACCATTAGCCAATAGGAAATCTGAGGAGAGAAAAGGAGCAGGGATGTAAGAGAAAGAGTAGAAGACACGAAGGCAGGAAGAAAAGGAGTAAGAGAAAAGGAAAGAAGGCAAAGGAGAAAGATAAAAGGGGGAAGGTAGGAGAATGAGGCAAAAAAATAATAGATCTGAATATAAAGAAGGGCTGACATATCAAAAGATTATAGGATGAGGATGAAATCTTTGTGTCTTACCTGTCCCTTCCCAAGGTCCAGCATCTGTATACCTAGATACCTTTCTATAATGCTGCCTTTCTGCCGTTTAAGCCCATCTCTGTTCTCTGTGTTCACGGATGTAAAACTGGTCTTACTCCTAGAGGTCAGGAAGGACCAGTCCTCAGCCCTTCCCACTGTGTGAACTCAAAAGAAAGCTGTGTACAGCTTCGTGGAGGATAAACATGAAAGCCTCGTCTAGAGAAGTAGGTGGTCCTTTTGGTGGGAGCCAAAGAATTGGACATTACAAGAGTACCCCAAGCCTGGATCAGACCTGGAGGCCCATGTAGAGACCCCACCCTCCACCCCCGAGAATACAGTGTGACATGAAGGGCTGTGACTTTCATGGGGATAAATACCAATCAATAAAATCCTAGCTTTGTTTTTCTAGGGTCAGGATAGAGAAAGATCAGGTTGGCATGAGGAAGTTATGAGGAGGTTGTCACAGAAAGGTACAAGTACTGGGGATTTCTGTCACTGTCCCTGGAGTAGTGACTCTTAGGAGAAGAAGTGATCAGCCAAACATAAAGGGGTAAGATTGGCTCACCCTTTATTCACAGCTTGGGGTGTTCCAAGTTTTGGTCATTTGACCCCATGACTTTGGAGCCGGTGATGAGGAACTGTCTCATAATGGGAGTGTATAGCAGAGCAAAATCCCAACAACAATCTTCAAGCATTTGTCCCTATACATCTAGATAAGTGTACTCTTTATCCTTCATCTTTATCCTTTATCTTTGCAACAGTTGAGAACACTACAGAAAAATACAACCAATCAATAGGCAGAGTTTTGGACCCCAGACCCAGTTGGTACATCTATAAAACACTCCTTCATCTAAGGCTCAGGGAACATTGCCAAAGAAGGGACAGAAAGCCTGTAAGAGCCAGAGGACCAGGGAGTTTGGTGCGAAATTGTGTCTCTATATCCACGAAGTCTCAACATGATTGCCCAAATGTAAGCTGAGAAAAAGATGACACCAATGGACATGCCAAAGTGGATGGGGAAAATCCCACGAGACCTCAACACTATACAAGGACTATAGGCAAATAGATAAAGCTGGAAGATGCAGACATGGTCATCCCAGGAACGAGCACTCCAATTGGTTGCCCAGTACCAATTGTTTTCAGTTAGCCCTGAAAACATACATACAAGTAACATTATGTGGACTCAATAGATTATGTTTAAGAATGTGTGACTGTGTATGTGTGTATGTGTGTGAATGTATACAATAATAATTAGTGAAAAATAGGCCATTAATTAGAAAGAGAGCATGAAGGGGGAATATGGGAAGGTTTGGGGTGAGGAAAGGGAAAGGAGAAATGTTCTAAGTATATTTTAATCTAGAAAATAAAATATGAGAAAGAAAGAAACAAAAAAGAGAAAAAAGGAAGAGGCTAAGATCTTAACAGTCCCTTATGGAACCTTCCAGTAACCTAAAGGACTTCCACCAGACCCAGATCCTAAGGTTTTATCCATTCCCAGTAGAAACACAGTGGCATCAAGACTTCAGCAAGTACATGGGCTTGAGGAGGTACTCAGTGTCCGTGCCAGAGAAATTAGCCACACCACCTCTATTTCCTGAGTTGTAGAGAACAGTCAGGACCTCTTGGCCTCCCACATAGAAGGCAGATCATTGTAGATTTTCTGCCTTCCTGGGAGTATATGTCACCATGCTTTACTGCATCCGAAACAAGGCTGGCAGTCAGCTGGCCTTCCCTCGAGCAGTGGTACATAGAAATACTGGACATGCACTTAATTGTCCTGAGCCACAGCATAGTATCAAAGTGGAACTGAGTCTCTGTGTCTCACCTTTTCAACCTCCTGTTTGATTGCAGCTGTCTGTGGAATAGATATTTCCCAGATACCTTGACACACTTTACACTCTGACCTACCTATAAACTGCATAGCATGGCAATATCTTCTTCTGCCTGAAACGGCACCACCTCTGTGGGTATGTTCTCCTAACTGTCTTCTACAAACAGATATAAGAGACAGAGTGGGGACAGCAACTCAGGGTTCCCTCAAGGAATAACTGAGATCTTCTAGCCATTCTTGCTGAGAATCCTAGGTAGGGTTTGATGTACATCTCATGTGGCCCAGGCTGGATGGGGTCTGACTGCATATTTGTTCATTCCCATCCGCTTAAACCTGAAATAATCACACAGAAACAATATTATTTAAATCACTGCTTTGCCAATCACTTAAGCATATTGCTAGCTAGCTCTTATATCTTAAATTGAGCCATTTCTATTAATCTGTGTATTGCTACAGGACTGTGGCTTACCAGGTAAAGTTCCATCTGGTGTCTGTCTTCGGTAAGGCTATATGGCTACTCTCTGACTCTGCCTTCTTTCTCCTAGCATTCAGTTTAGTTTTCCCACCTAGCTCTAGTCTGCCAAACCACTGACCAAAACAGCTTTATTCATTAACCAACAAAAGCAACACATATACAGAAGGACTTCCCACATCACACATTGACTTCCTTCTTCCCATTTTCCCATTTTGGTCCTTAAAGTCACATGGGAAGGAAATCAGCAGAATATAGTCACCTTTTCTAACTCTGTCTTCAGTGGACTCTAGCTGGGGCCCTATCTCTGCAACCAATTATGCAGTCTTACTCTGGGCCAATATTGGCTCAATACCCATTGAGTTGTTGTCATCAATTCTCTATAGCCCTACAACCTGAGCAAGACAGATGGGTGAAAACAATGTTAATAAACTTGACTCCTGGACACAATATGTCCCTGAGAAAATCATGTCTTTGGGAATGAATAAACTACAGCTATTCCTTTGCCAATTCGAATTTTCATGAGGGAAATTAAAATGGATTTAACATTCAACCCCTGTTAGAGAAAGGTAAGAATGGAGGAGGAGAGGGCTATAAAGAAAATAAAGACATGGTCACAAATAAAACACATTGGTATGGTATTCATCTTTTTTAAAAGGTAATACTCTGTATCAGTCAGAGTAAATTTGGTGATGCTGTGTAACAAATCACCCAAATTCTTAGCAGTTTAAACCCATGAAATTGGGCTCTCCTCTTACACTGGATGTCCATCAAGTGAAGACTGGAGGCTCTACCCGTGCTGGTAACACCTGTCATGACCAGGCTCATACAGTACCCACTGGCTGATTTATGATTTGCTGGGAGAAAATCTAGGCTAAGAACTGACAAGCCCTTAAAGCTTTCATTTAGATAACATCCGTCCCTTCTGCTCATGGGTCCTTGGCCAAAGTCAGTGTCCTGTTCACACCTGAAGATCAGGAGATGCTATCTTACCAGAGGGCAGAGAGCTAGAAGCACCTGATAAGGGGCATTGCTAAGCACTACAAACCTCATTTGACAGGACCTCTAGGCCTCCAGAGAAAGAGCTCTTGCACTGGGCACCAGGGACATTAACTGGATATTAACTCTACCATACATTATTTTGTTATATTAAGTATGGAAAGTCAAGTCATTCATATTTTGGTTATCTCTGGTCCATCTTTATTTTAGTAGCAATGTTTTATTGATGCATGCATGTGTGTTTTAAATGCACAGTAATATTTTTATGAAATAAATATATTTTTATTTTTAAACTTCAATGAATATATTTTATATCAAGACATTTAACATTTTACTCAAAAAAAAAAACCACAATCACCCTCGTTCATTTTCCCTATAAATTCTATATCCCAGAATCATGCATTTGCCTCTTTTGAGTAACTTTATGGCTCCTCTGTCATCTGGGAGAGGCACTGTATCACAGAAATCAATTCCACTGTCCCGATTTATGGAGAACATATCTAAAGGGCAAAAAAGAAAAAGACAAAATGGAAAAGGAAAAAAATAAAAATAACTCAAATAACTGAGAAGGTCAGAGTCAAAACCAAGAGGGAAAGGAGTTGACAGCCAGTTGTGCGGCCCACCTGCACCTCTGTGCTTTGTGGGGTGGTTGGAAGAGTAGCGCAACCCCAAGGGCCATTCCAGCTCACCATTAGAGACTTTTCTTACTACTTAGGAAACATCGAAAAGGAACAACTTCACAGCATAAGGGTGTGTTTCTGCTCATGGTTTGAGGGAGTTCTTTTGGCACTCCTGAATAAGAGAAGGTTTTTTTCCCCAACCACTGTATCAGTCCCAATGTGCACCTCTAGTACGAGGTGGTGGGTGCTTAGGAGTCAAGGCAGACTTTGTACATAGTAGAGACAATCACAGGGGACTCACCAGTCTTGCCTGTGTACCTGGAGGGTGTGTGCTCCCAGATGCCTCATGTCAAGCAGCTTCCAAGGTTCCCTGGTTACTTTCTCCTTCCAAATCAACAGCAGGGCATCTGCTCCCACAGCATTTCATCTGATGCTTCCAAACCCAGCTCAATGTTGAAGCAAAGGAGACCTCTGTACAGGGAAGAAAATCTGTTTGTCTTCCTTTGTTTGCTATCTGGATATATCATGTTAATTAATAACTGAAGAACAAGGGCCTTCCAGAAACTGTGTTTATTTCTAGGGTCTAACCTGTGAGTTTCCCCAAGATTCAGAATCAGGAAGTAAAAATGAGACCACCTATTTTCCAAACGCTTTGTGCTCCAGGATGGAAGATACGCAGAACCCAGTCCTGCCTTTGGCCACCCACCAGCCATTTGTCTTTGCATGAGTTTCCTCGGTCATAAAATCCAAAATGCGGTAAAAGATGAATAGAGGCTGCCAGAGAACCCGCCATCTCTATGTAACTAACGTCCTTTCGTGGATGTTAAGACCTAGGCCCTGTTTACATCACTGGAGGGCCTTTGTAAAGGCGTTATACATCATCCTCGGCATATAGGATACACTCGACATATTCCCCAACAAAGGAGAAGTTCTTGAAGACAGGTGCCAGGTCTTTGGTCTGCCTTCTGTGACTTCCAGGAGCTGACACCTGCGGCAAATACTTCAGCTTGTCCTCTGTGACCGTGCCCATCTGGTCAGCCTCTGTAGGCTTAAGAGTTCTCATCTCATGCTGGCTTTATTGATATCTCTTATTCTTCCACCTCTTTGCATTTTTTAAACTCTCTCTCTACCCCAATCATAGTTAAAAAACATTTGAGTCAAAGGCTAATTGTCACTAAGTGGGATGTACTCACTTTATAAAGGACACCCCCACTGAGATACAAGTTTAATACCTCTCCCTGTGGCCACCCCTTTAGTGAGGGGTGGAGCTGTAGTTCACTGTGACCACGTGGCCACAGAGCCAGCCTGGAGCCTTTCACTCTCCATTCACTCACTAGGGGGATACAGGGTTTGGCGAGTACAGAAAATGGGGAAGAAAAGGAGGAGCAGGTGTTGAAATAAGGAGCGGCGGGGCTGCGTCCCCAACACCCCGGCCGCTTGGCTAGCTCATGCCCGAAATAACAACACACAAACTGTATTCATTTAAAGAACTGCTTGGCCCATGAACTCTAGCCCTTACAGGCTAATCTCGCACCTGGACTAGCCCATTTCTAATGATTGTTTGTAAGCACCCCAAGGTGCGCTTACCGGGAAGATTCTAGCCTAAGTCCATCGTGGGTTGGAGTTGCCTGGGAGAGCTGAGCATGGCGTCTCTGCTCCCGAGCTGTCGGCTCTCTCTCCGGAAGCAGAGCAGAGTCTGACCTCACTTCCTCTTCCGCCCAGCATCCTATCCTGTTTATTCCGCCCACCTATCTTTTAACCTATCAGGGCCAGCAGTTTCTTTATTGCTCAGCCAATGAAATCAACAGATTGATATATGACACTCCCACATCAAGCAGGGGGAGGAGGGAAAGAGGAGGGGGGAGGACAGGAGGAGGATGTTCTCCACTCTCTCTCTCTCTAAGCCTCCTTCTGACTATGCCATTTCCTTTTTTTCCTAAAGGCCAACCATAGTCTCTCTCCTTAGAATTGTAAGATATTTCTTTTATGAGGCAGCTATGATTTCAGCACAACAATATTCTTTTATTGTCCTTCCCAAACAAAAGCCTGCAGAGAGAGGGCAGAAAATGTGCCACCTTCCTAATACACATGCCTGCTAGGAGAAGAGTGAGACCTGAGGCCCAAGGCAGTGCAGTAATTCCAGGTGTGGCTGGAGCAAGAGCTTCACCATTCCCCGGCTCAACTGCATCCACCAAACCCCTCATCCCCATAGCTAAGGGCCTGCTCTGCCACCGGGAAATTCCATTCCACCCCAGCAACTGTTTTCTAGTTCCACCTTCCCGGGGTCCTCATTTCAGCAGTAAATCTTCTCAAATGACTATTGTTCCAGAAGCCTTTTCAAAGATGAAATGAAAACGGTGATCACCAGGGTGAAGACACAAATGCATTTTCCTCGGTTATAGAAGGTTATAGAAATGAAGAACTCAGAATCCCTCCCACCAAAGAAACATGCACCAAACCTGGGCTCCTTGGCATCCCGCTTCTTGGCTGAGGGCAGCAGATCAACCCGCCCCTCGGTGATTGCTGGCTGCCCTTGAGTCAGACCTCTCTTTGACAGATACCCCCATAGAAGAGCTGGCCTTCTGGAGAGAGTTACCTTTCCAATCTGTCAGTGACACAGCCCAGTGACTCGAGGGAGGCTGTGACTGAGAGGCCCACGTGCAAACAGATCCACTGAGAGCCTGGGGTCTGCAGGGCACCTATGACTGCTTGCTGTGTTCAAATCAAAATGGGTCAGGAGAATGGATGTATGCTACAGACACAGTGGGCAAATTCCGGCACTTAGTGCTGATTTAGATGCTGCCAAGCACAGAAATCTATTATAATCCTTAAACAGCAGCCCAAATATCTATCTTCCTTGACTTCTGAACCTGTCACAAGACAGAATGATTATAGAAGTGGCATAAGACAGAACATTCAAACAAGTGGTCTTAGACCATGGAAGACTTGTCTGACTGCTTTAGCCATGACCATATACTTTCTCCTGTGGTTGTTGCGTGCATTATATATGGAGATTCAGGTAAATGTCGGAGGGAGAACATTGGGGAAAACCCACAAACATAATTCTGTAATCGTGATTCATGATCACCAAGTACCTTCAAGTGCCATACATGGTACACACGTTGGCGCCATATATCCCCAAGGTTGCTTGTGCTTCTGTTGTGGTTCAGATGTAAAATGTCCCCCATAGGTTCATGTGTTTCAAGCGCTTGGTCCCCAGGTGAGTGCTGCTTGGGAAGGTTGTAGAACTTTAGAAGGTGGAGCCTCACTGGAGGAAGTGGATCCCAGAGAATGGGCTTCATAGCCCAGCCCCATTTCCTGAGCACTTTCTGCTTTTTGAAAGTGGAGGTAATATGACCTGTGAGCTACCCGCTCCTACAGCCCTGCTTTCCCAACCTGCTACTATGTCTTTCCCCACTGGGAGAAATACTCTATTTGAATGATAAGTAAGAATAAGCCCTTCCTTCTCTAAACTGCTTCTGTCGGGGTATTTTGGCACAGCAATGGGAAAGTAGCTGTCTTGGGCACTGTGCTGCACAAGAGACACCATGACCAAGGCAACTTACAGAATAAAGCATTTAGCTGCGGCACTTGCTTCTAGTGTCAGAGGGCTAGCCCACGATCATCATCGTGGAAAGCATGGCGGCAGGTAGCATGGTTCTGCAGCAATAACTAAGAGCTCACATCTCATCTGCAAGTTGCAGGCAGAGAGGGAGAGACTGGACCTGGCATGGGCTTTTGAAACCTTAAAGCACACACAAGTCACACACCTCCTCTAACATAGGCCTAATCCTTCCCCAAAAGTTCCACTAACTGGGGACAACGAATGAAAGCATATAATGAGAATGTGGGGGGCCATTCTCATTCAAACCACTGCAGCAGCTAATACCAATTCCCATTGCATAGAGGAGGCAAATGAAACGATTGGTCTTACAACTGGAAAGTGATTGGAACCCATGTCCCCAGAGTTATTTGTAAGGAGAATCATTAGCTTCTGTTCCCAGATGAGAGAGTTGAAGGAACTTGCCCGTAGCCCTATGTGATCTGGTCAGTGGTGGAAGATATGTTCTATTAGCCCTTGGCTGTTTCTATACCAGTCACATTAATGTCTTTCTCCAGCATTCAGTCTGTGTGCAGGACCCTCACCCCTAAAGTATATATATATATATACCAAGAGTGAACTGAGAGAATCTGCCCCTAGAAGTCAGCAAGATGCTGATATCTATCCCAAAGCCCCATTTCTACACAGCAGTGGAGAGTCTGGGTATTCCTGAAGAAATGTAGACCAGGAGCAGAGAAGAGGTTCATGACACAGTCAAAGGGTATAGAGGAAACCGGGGGATCTGAGAAGACTATGTGGAGAGAGGGAAGGGAGAAAGAAAAGGGGAGGAAAGGAGGGAGGGAGTCGGGGAGCTCACAAAGCATGGTGACCTTGAAGGGCTTGGCCAGGAATCCTGCACAGAAAGAGTCTGGTTAAGTGAGCACTGTGGGTAGATTGGAGTAAACAATCACGGATATCCATCAAAAATTAATGAATCATTGAGAAAGGGCTAAGGACTCGGTCCTAGCATTTCAAGCCAGAGTCTTAAAAGGTTCATCTTGTGGTCAATGGATGGCCTCTGCCTACATGTACATAATAAGAGAAACTTCATCCAGACCTGAGACCCACATCAAAAGTGTGGGAGCCTTACTAGACCTGGATGGAGGTGGGTGGTCCTTGGACTTCCCACAGGGCAGGGAACCCTGATTGCTCTTTGGGCTGACCAGGGAGGGGGACTAGATAGGAGGAGAGGGAGGGAAAAGGGAGGCCGCGGTGGGGAAGAGACAGAAATCTTTAATTAATTAATAAAGAAATAAATAAATTAAAAAAAAGAAAAAAAATTGTGGGCGCTTGGGATAGTGAGCAAGGCCGCCTGGCTTTCTTAGCATTCTGTCTTTGTGAAACCAGTACCTGGCAGAGACAAGGTAAGAGGGGAATGACGATTTCGGCTAATGATTTAACATTTGGCACTTGCAATGGCCATGAGCCAAGCAACCAGATATCACCTAGAAGCTGGAAGCTAGAAGGAAGCTTCTAGAAGGAACACAGCCCTACCTTAATTGTACTCATCTCCACAGTTCTGTAAGAGTGAATTGATGCCCCTTAAACCACCATACTTGCCATAATGTATCATAGAAGCAAGAAGAAGAGGCCCCCACCTGGGCCACCCATTGGATGGATTCGGGGATCACCTCAGATTTCAGTGCCATTTCCCTCAGCATTGCCGGAGGTTCTGAGAAACCTTCAGCTAATAACCGAGAGGAGAAATGGAAAAATGAATGGCCTGATTCACAAAGAACAGAATTCTGCTTTCTTCCCAACCTTCCATACAGCACAGAGCAGCATTCTAGTAAGTTCTCAACAACCTTTATTGACAGAAAGGCCAATTGAGGAAAAATTAAAATGTTTACAACCTAAAGCAGTGTTTATCCCACTGAAGATGAGAATAGCTTTACTGGGCCCCAAGCATATAATATATGTTTGTACAACACAGGTAACTATTAGGACTGAGCAACACCTGGGGAAAATGGGCACTTTCAGCCTCTAAATTAACATGTGGAATAGTCATGACAGAGCATTCGAGAGGCAGCTTTCTAAGCTTTTGTTCTCAGGTTTAGGTGTCCTGTCAGGGTCTATAGAATGTGGACATGCATTTCCCATTTAATCTTTAAAGCACTTAGATTGGAAGAATAATGTCTCGTGTTCCATAGCACAGCAGGGTAACTATGGTTGGCAACAGTTACTTTCATGCTTCTGAATAGCTAGCACAGGGGATTGCGAGCACTCCCTATTCAAAGAAATGATGTTTTAGATGATAATGTGATCATTGCGCTCTGCATACGTGTGCCGGTGCAGATACTAAGGAACGTTCAGCCATAAATGGGACATCTGTGTAACAACCTCTCCTCCCAAGGCTTGCATATTATTGCAGAAGAGGGGTGATGGAGCGCACCACGCCCATCTGCGCTCTATGCGCTACCATACAGTTCAAGAACCGGGCAAGGGGCTGGAGATTGAAACACACAGAGACACACAGACAGAGACACGGGTCATCCTTAAGGATGCCCCAAGAATGCCCCCTTTATGGTGTCCAGGGACATCTTATATAGGGATCCTTAGCTGATAGCCACGCCCCAGCCAAACCCGCCAGAAACCACTCTCCTGCCATCAGGAACTCCTGAGGGTTTCATGCTCAGAGCAGCTGCAGGCTGTCTCAGAACAGAGGAAAACAAGTTGTTTACAAGAAGTTCAGGATCTGGAGGTTCAATGCTCCCAGCAGGGTGGAAAATTTGTAAGAGCCAGAGGCACTGGATGACTACAAGGAAAGAGTGTTTCCAAGGCTAGGCATGGAGGTTGCACATTTAAACTCACGGCTGTTGGGAAAACACGCACAAAACCTACTTGGTCTGGTCAAAGTAGAATGAGGTGGAGAGTGGCCCCTAGCTAAGGAACTATTTCCAGTTGATAGCCACTGGGAGAAAGTCAGTTTTCTTTAAGGGTCCAGCCCCTGGTGAATTGACCACCTCAAGCGAAGGCCATACATCAAACAAATGTACTTGCTGGGTTAAAAGAAAAGAACACAAAGTTGGATAGGTGGGTAGGGAAGGGGGTGGATCTGGGTAGGGGAGAACTGAATACCCATCAACATGAATGAGCAAAATTCTCAAAGAACTAACACAAGATGAGAAAAAAAGAAATGTCATAGTTTTATCCCAT